GGATAAACGAGGTAACGAGGTACACATTTTCGTCACACGGGTTTTAAAGAAGTTTACCCGCGATAAGAAGCGTGAAATAAGAGGATTCTTCGGTGCGATACAGAGCTGCTTAAGTGTTTGGAATGGATCGTTAATCAAAGGGCGGAGGTGGAAGAGGGATGGCGAAACAAAAAAGGAAGGAAGGAAATCGCACCGATTAAACCGATCGATCGCGATACAATGGCTCTCCGTTAAATTAATATTTCCGAATTCTTTTCATCTCGCTCGATAATTAAATCGGAGAATTAAGCGGAGAAAAGGATAGGGAATATAAGGTATTCGAATAAAAGCCGAAAACGAGAGGGGTAGGAAGGAAGAAAGAAAGAAAGAAAGAAAGAAGAAAAGAGAGAGGACTTTAAGACACAAAGCGTCGCAGAAACACCACAGCCTAGAGCAACGTCTTGAATCAACACACACACAGATATATATATATATATATACATACACAACTCCCAGAATATTTTTCAAGCAAGACAAAAGTCCTCCGTCCGATAAAAGCTGCACGAATCTCAAACTACGACGATAGTACGAATTTTCGAAATATGCATATCGCTGTGATCTCTCTTAGAGAAAAGAGGAAAAAAAGGAAGGAAGGAAGGAGAAAAAAAAAGAAAAAGAAAGGAGAAGGGAAACAAATCTAGGCCAGCTTGAATGAACATTCATCCGATCGAAGGGAGAGGACATCCATCCCTCGAAGAGAGGGGAAGAAAAAGAAGAAGAAGAAAAGAGCAGAGCTCTAGATCGAAAAATGCGTGGCGAGATGGGACCGTTTAGGAAGAAAGATCGATGAGATTAAAAATGGAACGCGGCTTTACGATTCTCGCATAGAGAACTTGCGCTTCGTTGACGAACTCTGCGACGAAGGGACGAGTTCCAGAAAAGAAAAAAGGACGTATCGCTGTCGATAAAGAATCGAAAGAAGAAGAAGGAAGCTTCCCCGTGTCTCTCTTTCGATACTTCCGCTTACATAAATATTCTCCTCTCCCCTTGGAGGCCGAGAGTGAGAAAGAGACAGACTAAAGGATCGCGAGCCAACTACCTTCTCGGAAATCTCGAGACGTTCCAAAGGCAGAGAATGTAGGGCAGAGTCGAAAAGTGGGCGAGCGTAGCCTCTAACCTTTTCACGAGATCGAGGGTGGGAAAGGGGCGAGAATGCATAATCTTTCTCCATCCGCCTTTCTCCATCGATCCTCGATCCTCCATCGTTTCTTCTTCTCTCCTCCCCCCTTCCCTATAACAATAACCTCGCTAACCTCGNAACTCGCGGCAGTCGTGCGAGATCCGCGTCGAAAGCGCGATCGTCCAAAAGGGGATGGAAGGCGAGAGAAATATAGGATAACACGGAGAAGAGAGGGAAGAGAAGAGAAGCTGGGGAAGAAAGGAAGAAGGAAGGGAAGAGAAGCGCGCGACTGCACGTCGTGCAGTCGAATGGGAGCGGGTGTCCGGGCGCGCAGAATCTTGGGGCGCACAGGCGCATAGGCGGCGTGAACGCTGGCGGCAGTGGCGCGAATCAATAAGCGTAAGCACAGGTGGGTCGTGGTCNCCCGAGATCATCTCGACGTTCGTTGAAAGTGTGTGGTTAATACTAAAACGACTTGGCGCGCGCTATCGTTCATCGGCTACGGATAAGAAACCCGTGCGCTCGGAAGAGGAAAAAGAGGAAGAAGAGG